GCACTGGCATTGGAACTCCAGGATTTCAAGTCGTCCGCAAAAAGTAGACATGGACTCCCAAGGACGTCTGGGAGGTCGTTGGTCGTGGTTAATTAACAGATTTAGAGCTTTCACGGATTAATACACAGGATCGAGGTTTTTCCCCAAGATTCCCGGATCGGGTTTGTTATTGTCGTTCAGGGGATGTCGTTCACCTGAAACGAACAAGTACAAAAAGGGTGTAGCACCGTTCTTAAATTCTCGACGCGAGAACTCGCAAAAATAAGTGTCTAATAGTGATTTGAAGTGGGTCCTAGAAGGAGCGTGGACTACGTTCGAGGAAGGTTATTTCACGCAGCTACTACCCGAAATGAGGAAAAGTTTGCCTGGTGAATGTGCGAGCTGTGAGTTTGAAAATCTCACCATGTCCCCGCCGTGAGTTTTCTGGGTCATCGATGAAACTACTGTTGGCCAAGCCTTGTTCAAACAGACCATAAGTGAGAATTGGGTCCCCTCGGCGGCGACGGCACTCCAGGGGAGAGAAGTCAAGCACTACGAGACGCGTTTCTCAGTCCACGGATTTGAGGCCGGCAACCATTTTCGTAGTACCCCTTGGACACACGCAATGTGGGCCACGTCTTCCGTGCGTTTGGAGTTGACAGAGCTAGATAACCAAGACCTTTTAGGTCCCTATCCTCATGACGTTTTCTGGTCCTTTCTCACCATGTATACCAAAGGCATTCGCTGAGTCTCCTCAAAGTGACATATGGGCGCACTGTTCGTCATTCGGAGGAAGGTGATAGTTCAACGTCCACCGCTTTGCTGCGTCTGGATACATTTGGGGGCACTGCCATTGGAACTCCATGGTTTCACGTCGTCCGCAAAGTGTAGACATGGACTTGCGACAACATCTGGAAGGTCGTTTCAAGGTCTGGCTTTCACCAGAGCCCCCGGATCTGACTTGTTTTTCTCATTCTGCAGCTGCCTTTCACCCTGTATGCGCAGGTGAAAAAAGTTGAAGCACCTCTCTTCATTTCAAGAGCTTTTGGTAAGAGGATTGCCAGAAGACAGAGTCACACAAATAAGCGCCCAAAAATTATATGAACTGTGTCCTAGATTCAAAGTGGACCACTGAAGGAGAAAGGCTCTTGCACATATCTGCCGGCAGAAATGTTAAAGTTTTGCACATTCCAATATTTAAAATCTCACCACAAACCTGCCGTGTATTGGTATTTCCACCGGTACAGCCGATTGGCGAAGGGTCAGATACACTCAGACGTGGAAATTATGCGCAGAAGAGAATTAGGTCATCTCACGGGGTGTTTCGTAACCGGCGGATCCAAGGGCAACATTCATTTTTGCAGAAAAAACTGCCTATGCGAGCATAGTTAGTTAACACGCGGTGTGTGCTAATTCGTCGCTCTGCTGGCTAAAAAAATACATGCATGTTAAAGTTGGGCCAACCTCACCCAAAACGCGCGTTTCAGACAGTTTCCCCTCGTTTTGCTCCGGAAATGCCCCCTGAGCGCACTCACTCCTCCGCGCCGCTAGCCCTGCCTGCTGCTCGCTCACTCTGTCTGTTTGCCCTCAACCATACGTTCGTGTGTCAATTCACGGATTCACGGATTGATACACAGGATCGAGGCTTTTGCCCAAGTTTCCCGGGTCGGTTTTGTTCTTGTCGGTCAGTGGCTGTCGTTCACCTGAAAGGCACAAGTGAAAAAAGGGTGTAGCACTGCTCTTTATGTTCTCAGCGCGGGGCAGTATGCACGCCAGCGCGAGGATTCGCATAAATAAATGTCTAATAGTGCTTTAAATTGGGTTCGAGAAGGAGCATGTCTAATGAATGTGTGCCCTGAGCTTGAAAATTTTCTTACTATGTCCCCGCCGGGTGTTTTTTGGGTCAACGGTAAAAAACCTGTTTGCCAAGCTTTGTTCAAACAGGGCGTAAGTGAGAATTAGGTCTCCTCGGAGGCGACGGTACTCTAGGGGAAAGAGATCAAGCATCGCGAGACGCGTTTCGTAGTCCACGGACTTGAGGCCGGCAACCATTCTCGTGGCGGCCCGCTGGACACGCTCAATGAGGGTAACGTCTTTCGTACGTCCTGAGTAGACAACTTGGTTGGCGTACTCCAGGAGCGGTCTGACGTAGGCCCCATAGAGTGTTTGGAAGTCCACACGAGTAATGCGGGAGAATTTGCGTCGCATCATTCGTAAAATGGTGAATGCATTTTGGGCCGATTTCTCATGGTGCAGTGAGAAGTTTGAGGAGACCCAGATGCCCAAATCCACTTTGGCATCTATCCGCATGAGGTTTTCTGGTCCCTTTTCACCATGCATAACAAAGGCATTCGCTGAATCCCCTCCAAACGACACATGGACGCACTTTTCATCATTCAGAGGAAGGTGCCAGTCCAACGACCACTGCTTGGCAGCGTCTACATCCATTTGGAGAGCACTGGCATTGGAACTCCAGGATTTCAAGTCGTCCGCAAAAGTAAACATGGACTCGCAAGAACGTCTGGGAGGTCGTTGACGTAGATCAGAAACAGGAGTGGTCCCAAGACGGAGCCTTGAGGAACTCCAATGGAGACCGGCGCTGGAGAAGAGTAGGTCGAGCCTATTCTCACTCGGAATGATCTGCCTGATAGGAACGCCTTGATCCAGCGAAGGATTTTCCCTTGAATCCCGTAAGACTCGAGTTTGTGGAGCAGCGGGACGTGTGGGACCCTATCAAATGCTTTTGAGAAGTCGAAAAATATGGCATCCGATATGAGTCCTCCGTCCTTGGCTTGGGTTAAGCTGTCCATAAACACGAGCATGTTTGTCACGCAAGAACGGTTTGGGAGAAATCCGTGTTGAGTTGGAGATATCAGATTGCTGGAAGTAAGGTGATCTAGGTTGGCTCGCTTCAGAATGCGTTCCATCACCTTGCACGGCACGCTAGTGAGGCTTATAGGCCTATAGCTGCCAGTTTTGTATATTGGCGTGACAATCGCTTCCTTCCTTGAAACTTACTCGTCCTAACTTTCAAAAAACCCTGATGCCTTATTGAACCTCTTTCATGAGTACCATCTGACATATAGCTTCACATTTCGATTCGGTTAGTTTTTATCCCTCGCCTATTGTAAAGCTTCTGTGCACCTAGTGTTAAATCCAATATTTAGTTTCATCGGATTAATCCAGTAGAAGCACAAACTGTAAGGGAAGGCGATTTCGACAAACTTGCATGCTCTTAAAATACTGGCACTGAAGACCTAAAAATCGTCATACGTAACTGGATGTGGTGCGATTGGCTTAGTTCCGTGGATGCTTAGCAATTAGGAGTCGCAAGGAGATATGTTGGCACTCTATTAGTATGAACTTAGCACAACTGAGGCACGACCGGTTGCAACCAGAGGGCTTCAACGTTCCAACGTAACTACTGTTGCGTCTGACGTCAATTATAGTGTGTCTCCGCTCATCTAAGGCTCCCGAAGCCATTGCAACATTCTTGTTGGACAAGAGTATGGCTTTTGTTGATTGCAAGTACTTTTTAATGTATCAGAAACTCAGTCAACTGTTGAATAAGTAGAAGCTATAAACAGGATGTCAATTTCGCTGCCTCGTTTGGTTTTTATGGGACCAGACAGTCCGGGTGTGTACAAGAGCGAAAACCACTGCTGGCAAAACAAGATCCAGTCAACGAAGATACCCAAATTAAGCAGCTACATGATCCCGCAAGTGCCGGAGTTCATATGTATAATGTTTATTCCCAATCGGTGTGTGGCAAGCCGTTGGACATATTCAGAATATCACAGTGAGAATAAAAGCATGACCGGCCGGGTTTTTGAGCACACAAAATTGCACGGGGAATGAACTGTGTCATAAAAACTGAACATTATCCAAGGTGGACGTTAGAAAGTGAAGTTCACGGGCAAAAAACAAAGAGGGCAAAACAAGAGTAACGTCGTCTGGCACACAACAGACTGCGAAAAATGAGGAACCAGAACAACTATTATAACAGTGTATTGATAAAATGTTGCCCCTAATCGAAATAATATAGCAGGCGTTTTATATTAGTTTTCCGGAACTTCTGAGAACTCCTCATATAAAATATGAGTGCACAAAACAATACCGTGCTTACACCTGTGCTTCCTTTTACGCGTGAGAAAGTTTGAAAAAGCGATAAATTTAAGGCCTCTTAGAGGAAGCGGAGCGGCCTTTGTGTGACAGTTGAATAATACCATAAACCAGTGACTAAGTTGAGCTCCCGTTAAAGCCAGGTTCGTATGTGAATGGCATTGCCTATTGGAATCTATCCCATTCGTGTTGAAGGAGAGCATGCATACTTGATGATCTCCAAGAAGGCCGAAACTGGTCGCAGTCTACTAAATAGGTTTCAGGAAACCCAGTTAAGTCCTGTCAGAGGAGTATCGTTTTTACCACAAAATGTGTGCTCCAAAATTAAGGCCGCAATTATAAGGCGTTAAACATTCCGATGTTCAGACTTTGAGAAAGATCTTAGTGGCCCGATTGGCTGACCACCACGAGTTAAAGGAAATTTACTGAAATATTTTTGATGCGCAACTTAGTTCTTTTATGCCCACTCAAAATTGTCCTCTAGCTAGATAATCATCTCCTCGATAGAGCCAATTTGTGGAGGTTTTCTAACTTGTCGAAAGAGTTTCTACATGGAAGCACCGACTGTTCACGTACACACTAACGCTTCATTGTTCTGCGCCAGAGCATTAAATGGATCGCTCTTGAAAAAATTCTGGGGTATCAGCATAGAATTGCTATCGTTCGCTTAACTTCTGGTGGATATGACCTGCACGAGGACTTCTCGTGCAGCTTAGTTACATTTGGGGTCCATCCCGCACATCGTTTATTCTCGTGATGCATTTGAAAGCGTTGTGGTATCCCTATTCGGATCCAGGGAGCCAACTTAATCGACAACCTGCGCCACAGTCGAAACGAGTAATCCCCTTGCTTTGAGTCACCTTCGGAGTTTGTCACATTTTTTGAGGTAACTGACCGCAAACTGCTCGCTCCGTTTCGGTAGCTGAGCAACTATATTTGGTTGAAAATTCTTTTCCAACGGTGTCGTCTATTTCTGATTTTTCTGCATGTTTAACCATACATTGGCTTTTTACTCGTCTTAGGCCGTCACAGAAGGATATTTGCTACTTACGGGAAGTGTTCACCAACGGAGCCACTGAAAGCAGCCTGATGAATGCCAACTTCTTGTCTCCATTCCTCATTGTTCCACCCCTGATGGTAGAGTTCACCGTTTTAAAGGCGGTATAAAATATCGCCTAAACATTCCGTCCAGGTTCCTCAAGTGTTTCTATCATATTTAATATGGTTTCGGCTCTGGCTCACTGTTCGTGTGCCTCTGGCCTAAGCTTCTCTTGCTCCAACACCCTACCATTTGCAGTGGCTGCTTACTCGTGAGCGCTTCGAGTTCAATTCCAGGTTTATTGTGTTATCCAGTTAGGTCTGAGATCAATGATCGCGTCTGCAGCTTTACCCTAATTTAAACTCCAGGTGATTCAAACAAGTAGTTGCACTGCTCGCACATTAGGGACAAAAGGCACAGTTTTCAAGCAACACCTGCGAATAGCTTAGCACTTTTGGGCATTATTTTTCCTCCGAGCTCGAATCTGCGGGCTAGCTGTTGAAAACTTTCAACGTCCTTTATAATAAAAGATGGCTTCACGGTTTATCCCTCGATAGCATAGCTGCTTCTTCTAATCAAAATTTGAAAAACAACAAAAAAGGGCAGATTTAATTAGGGCATAATATACTGGACGGAATTTTCGACTAAAATACGCCTAAGGAGGGGACTAGGCCCCGCTGAAATCGCCTCCCCGTCATAGATAAGGGAACTGCGAAACGTTTAGCCAAATAAACATGCACTCTAACTCCCTTCAAGTTTACTGCACTCACATTTAAGTAAGTCTCTCAAAACGCATTTAAGATGGACCGTGGTATTGCATGTTTTCGCAGTTTATAAATGCCTTGTTATGTTGTGAGGCTGTTGCAGCCCTGAATGCTGCTCACCTACCCCACGTTCTCGTGCATAAGTCGAGACCACGTATCAAGTAGGACACCGTCACGAAAGCCATTTTGTGCAAGCGTCCGAGCGGCTCAGGTGACCAGAATCGGTTTTGGATCACGTGGTAGACCAGAAGCAGGTGTTTGGACATTTATACACGCGATGCGGAATGATTTGAAAACCTTTAATTTTTTAAAACAAAACAGCCAATAGGATGCGCCATACCCGCTGATTCACCAATCTGCTGCTGACCCGCTCTAGTGCCCCATGCCTGAAAAAAAGACTAACACAAGGGAACACAACAGCTATATTCCGAAAAAGCGGGTGCGACAGCGTGAGTGCGTGAGTGCAAGAGCAAAATTTACAACAGCCCCACGCTGTTTAAAGGAGAATTCCAGACTGTCTGATAGAGGTTAGTTAACAATTGTCAACAATAATAATAACAATTGTCAATAATAATAATAATGTTTATTTCCAACGTGTGGTTGGCATACCTTCTGGCATGATCATACGTTTATAGTCAGAGTGGAGCATTACTGGGGTATTTGCTGATGGAGGGGATTGCGCGAAAAGTGGACAATATCATTAACAGTGGGAAGTATTTGATGAAATAATGACAACAAATTTCTTTCCAAACTTGTAGAGAACAATGGGCATAAGGTCTGACTTATCCAAAGACTAAGACGGCTGGCATGAACTAAAACTGGAAAACCATCGCTGGTATGGGTGACTTCGGGCGGTCGGGTAAATGGCTGAAATGGCCGTAAGTGTGGAGGTGGAGATTGAATAATTCGAATTGGAGGAACATGCCAAGTTTTGTCTCAAAAATATGGTGCAGTCTGAAAACAAGCAGACCCACTGGTTGCACTGTTGTAGGGAAGTTAGATGCAAGGATTAGATTGGATGGGGACATGTGGACACAGAAAGACAGGGATGGTTAAATTCGAACGAGGCGTCCGATAGACTAGAATGATATGACATGGATGCAGTTGGTGTCATGTTGGGAGTTTGCCCTATTTGCCCCGATCGTGCCCCTGTTAAATGCCTGAACGCTGGTCACATTCGGTTGGGCTTTTGTGGCGTGCATAAAAACTCATTGGCTTTTGCTGAACTGACTGAATGATTGACGGGCATGGGTAATTGCAGGCCTTTTTTGTTGGGATTTTGGTGAAGCAGTAGGTTCCGGGCGTTCTGAGGTTACTTTCAGGTATCTGACTTTGTTAGTAGGATGAATGAACATTAGGGCCACTCATTGGTGTACATTTTCCACTGGCTGGGTAAATTGAGCGGCTAAACTGTGTCAGATCTAACAAACATTCATCTCAAAACCATTTCGCTCCGTCAGTGTAACGTATAACTTTCAAGGGTTTCAGTGTTAGTGGAGAAAAGTGAAGCAGCCACTGATTGACCTTGCGAAACGGTGTGAAGAGGTTAGAGCATCCTTAAAAATGACTTAACGCAGATCCGCACCTCAAATATCTATCAACGGGGCTAGTTTGTTTTGTTCTGCAATGATCTGTTTTGCACTGTGCACTTGGTGATGCCTAGCTCTCTGCAGCACTTTTTGTTTGGGTATATACAGGCATTCGTGAAAAATTAGTTGCCTGTCCCCGACACGCAAACAGACATTGGGGACGTTCTCCCTCCCGGTGAACAAAAATTCGTTTGTTATTGGTGTTCAACTATCGCGTCTAGCTTCCCTCTCAACTGTTACACACAGACTGCAAAAGTCGCTGTATGACTAGCTCCTCAAACACCTGAGCCATAACAGTTCACTTCTACTAGTCGTATGCTTGTATAATTGCTGTATTATCATCTGTAACGATATTGGTGATTGCTACTGCGCACCTGCAGTCTGCCACTTTCGTAAATTTAGCTCCAGTATCAGTGCACTGTCTATCAGTGTTTGAAGTTTAGACGTTCTTACCCATCTCCTTTGTGAAGCAGAACCTTTTGAGGTCAAATAAAATTGAAAAAGCTCGTATCAATCTGTCGTGGATTCTTTAGCCCTTGCCTTCAGAAAGTGGCCATTTGAATGGTTGATGGAACTTTTAGAACCAATTTCGCTCTGACTATGACGCCAGATAAATTTCTGGACCCGCAATTGCTCATTCTATGTACCCTATTTCGGTGTATTCCCAGTCCAAGGTCGCGTCCCCAGAAAAATTTCATTTTAAATGATTGGCAGAAATTTTTGCGTTAAGCAGAGGGCTTGGTTAAGTAGACCTCCCAGACATCAACGCAAAAGACTCCTCTGAAAAGGCGACGTACCTCAAGCGACAACCTATTACTCACAATGATCTTTTCGCCAAGTCCAAATCAAGGCGAAAATTGCAAAGGTTTTGTAATGTTCTAAAAAGTGTGGTCAGTAAATCCAGTTGAGTGGCTGACGTTTGCGAAAGAGCCACGGTCTAATAGCACCCTAATACTGGCCGATACAAAGACGTTTATTCCGCTCAATATTGTTCGAACGCGGAAAATCAACTGAAACAAGTATCCAACTGAAAGACACCTAAACTGATAATACAGTTAACCCTCATCGGTGAGGACTGAGGAACGGAGGGTACATTGATCGTATTGAACAACCTTCGTAGAGGGCTTGGGCAGCAAAACATCTACACGCGATAGTCTGGGAGCTGTAATTTGGACGGCCTTTCTGAATTTGCCTGGCACTGATCAGAGGTGAACTAAGCGAAGTAGTGATGTGGGTCCTCGTTAGACACTTGTTTGGAGAGAAATTTCTGAAAGAAATCCGTATATGTTCTCACGCCTCCAAAAGTGCCCAACAACATTGATTACGCTTCATAATGGCTAACTTAGAAAATGCGCTGCTGTAGAATTAGCATCCTGCAAAATGAAGTGTTTGATATCCAGTGCATATGGGTAACCAGTTGTGCAGCACATCACAGAGCGCTAACTACCTGGTTGTTTGCAGGAAACCGGGCGGTAGGGTGTCCAAGTATACAGAACCAGCAATAAACAATATTTGATTCAATCTTCCTAAAGTTAATGACACACCAGCTTCGTTTCATGCCAATTTGTATGAGAGAGAGATGCGGTCTCGCTTGTTCCAAAATAGTCAGAGTGGAGCATTACTGGGGTATTTGCTGATGGAGGGGATTGCGCGAAAAGTGGACAATATCATTAACAGTGGGAAGTATTTGATGAAATAATGACAACAAATTTCTTTCCAAACTTGTAGAGAACAATGGGCATAAGGTCTGACTTATCCAAAGACTAAGACGGCTGGCATGAACTAAAACTGGAAAACCATCGCTGGTATGGGTGACTTCGGGCGGTCGGGTAAATGGCTGAAATGGCCGTAAGTGTGGAGGTGGAGATTGAATAATTCGAATTGGAGGAACATGCCAAGTTTTGTCTCAAAAATATGGTGCAGTCTGAAAACAAGCAGACCCACTGGTTGCACTGTTGTAGGGAAGTTAGATGCAAGGATTAGATTGGATGGGGACATGTGGACACAGAAAGACAGGGATGGTTAAATTCGAACGAGGCGTCCGATAGACTAGAATGATATGACATGGATGCAGTTGGTGTCATGTTGGGAGTTTGCCCTATTTGCCCCGATCGTGCCCCTGTTAAATGCCTGAACGCTGGTCACATTCGGTTGGGCTTTTGTGGCGTGCATAAAAACTCATTGGCTTTTGCTGAACTGACTGAATGATTGACGGGCATGGGTAATTGCAGGCCTTTTTTGTTGGGATTTTGGTGAAGCAGTAGGTTCCGGGCGTTCTGAGGTTACTTTCAGGTATCTGACTTTGTTAGTAGGATGAATGAACATTAGGGCCACTCATTGGTGTACATTTTCCACTGGCTGGGTAAATTGAGCGGCTAAACTGTGTCAGATCTAACAAACATTCATCTCAAAACCATTTCGCTCCGTCAGTGTAACGTATAACTTTCAAGGGTTTCAGTGTTAGTGGAGAAAAGTGAAGCAGCCACTGATTGACCTTGCGAAACGGTGTGAAGAGGTTAGAGCATCCTTAAAAATGACTTAACGCAGATCCGCACCTCAAATATCTATCAACGGGGCTAGTTTGTTTTGTTCTGCAATGATCTGTTTTGCACTGTGCACTTGGTGATGCCTAGCTCTCTGCAGCACTTTTTGTTTGGGTATATACAGGCATTCGTGAAAAATTAGTTGCCTGTCCCCGACACTCAAACAGACATTGGGGACGTTCTCCCTCCCGGTGAACAAAAATTCGTTTGTTATTGGTGTTCAACTATCGCGTCTAGCTTCCCTCTCAACTGTTACACACAGACTGCAAAAGTCGCTGTATGACTAGCTCCTCAAACACCTGAGCCATAACAGTTCACTTCTACTAGTCGTATGCTTGTATAATTGCTGTATTATCATCTGTAACGATATTGGTGATTGCTACTGCGCACCTGCAGTCTGCCACTTTCGTAAATTTAGCTCCAGTATCAGTGCACTGTCTATCAGTGTTTGAAGTTTAGACGTTCTTACCCATCTCCTTTGTGAAGCAGAACCTTTTGAGGTCAAATAAAATTGAAAAAGCTCGTATCAATCTGTCGTGGATTCTTTAGCCCTTGCCTTCAGAAAGTGGCCATTTGAATGGTTGATGGAACTTTTAGAACCAATTTCGCTCTGACTATGACGCCAGATAAATTTCTGGACCCGCAATTGCTCATTCTATGTACCCTATTTCGGTGTATTCCCAGTCCAAGGTCGCGTCCCCAGAAAAATTTCATTTTAAATGATTGGCAGAAATTTTTGCGTTAAGCAGAGGGCTTGGTTAAGTAGACCTCCCAGACATCAACGCAAAAGACTCCTCTGAAAAGGCGACGTACCTCAAGCGACAACCTATTACTCACAATGATCTTTTCGCCAAGTCCAAATCAAGGCGAAAATTGCAAAGGTTTTGTAATGTTCTAAAAAGTGTGGTCAGTAAATCCAGTTGAGTGGCTGACGTTTGCGAAAGAGCCACGGTCTAATAGCACCCTAATACTGGCCGATACAAAGACGTTTATTCCGCTCAATATTGTTCGAAGGCATCGGCAAAAACCTAACGCGGAAAATCAACTGAAACAAGTATCCAACTGAAAGACACCTAAACTGATAATACAGTTAACCCTCATCGGTGAGGACTGAGGAACGGAGGGTACATTGATCGTATTGAACAACCTTCGTAGAGGGCTTGGGCAGCAAAACATCTACACGCGATAGTCTGGGAGCTGTAATTTGGACGGCCTTTCTGAATTTGCCTGGCACTGATCAGAGGTGAACTAAGC